TATTCAAGTTAACATACTAAATGTATCCATTAGCTAATTATAAGACACTAGAAAAGTAACAGGATGCCTTCAAAAAATTGTGATTGATCTCTGGCTGGTGATGACACACAGGACTTCATAGAATTTTGAGATATTAACGGTTTTTCCCCGTTGTTCCCTGTGACCTTCCCAGTCCAGGCAGCCAAGAATTCCACTGGCTGCTCCAGGAAAGAGATGACACAGCAGAACACAGGGAACAAAAGAGTCCATTCTTAGCTTTCATGCTTCAAAAACTAAGGACCTAGAAGAGACAAAGCATTTAGAATACACACTCCCAAGAGTCACTTTCTCTAGTGCTAGATACCAGAGTTTTCTCAGACTTAAGAGATGGTGCAGAAGAAGGAAAATGAGGTTCTGTGGATATCCAGTGAAGGGATCTTGGCTCTGTCTCTTTTGTCTGAGCCAGGAGAAGGGGCCATAGCACTGCCCCTTCCCTAGAGTAGCTCAGCACACCTGCAAGACCTCAGCATTTTCCCATGCCCATCGCCAACAGGGAGCAGAAGGAGGCAGGATACACAAGTAGAAGACTAGAAACGACCTCTGGAAACCACTCACATGGCTTGCCTGGCAAAAGGAACATGTGGCCCTGGGGAAAGTATGCAGATGAGCCACAGTCAGCCAATGGAAAAGGCCCTGCAGTAAGCACAAGAGGGCAAGACTGTGAGTGTGTTGTGTGCTGAGGCACTGACTACCTCCAAGGACATACAGTAGCAGTCCAGGATGGCAGCCCTATAGGAGGTCTGGAAGTCATCCAGTCCAGACCAAAGCTGGAAAGCAGAAGCCTCCCACAAAATTCTACAAATCAAAACATATATTTACTATTGGGGGAGGGGGAGGGGGAAATGACTTAGAATGTGTAGTATGGGGAACAGCACTGTGGCATAGCAGGTAATGCTGCTGCCTGCAGTGCCAGCATCCCATATGGGCACTGGTTCAAGTCCCGGCTGCTCCACTTCCAATTCAGCTCTCTGCTATGGCCTAGGAAAGCAGTACAAGATGGCCCAAGTCCTTGGGCCCCTGTATCTGCGTGGGAGACCAGAGGAAGTTCTTGGTGCTCCTGGCTACAGATCAGCACAGCTCTGGTCATTGTGGCCATCTGGGGAGTGAACCAGCAGATGGAGGACCTTTCTCTTTCTCTTTCTCCTTCTCTCTCTTTCTCTCTCTTTCTGCCTTTGCTTCTCTGTAACTCTCCATTCAAATAAATAAATAAATCTTTAAAAAAAATGTGTATTATGATTGAATTCCCATTTCATATGAGAGATTGGCTTGAGTTACAAAAATTTCCCACATACCCATAATCCAAACACATTAAAATGCTAGGTATGATAGAAAACAAATATTTTTCAATTGATTAATTTATTTGAGAAAGCAGCAGCACATGTATGATCACATACATGCACCCAGAGACCTGGGATTCAATCCAGCTCTCCCACGTGGGTGGCAGGACCCCAACTTCTTGAGCCATCATTTGCTGTCTCCCGGGGTCCACATTAGCAGGAAGCTGGAATCAAGAGCCAGAGCCTAGAATCCAAGCCAGCACTCTGATGTGAGATCCAGGCATCCTCACCGGTATCTTAATCACTAGACAGAATGCCCATCCCTTATGATAGCTTGATAAAAAATAAGTAATTGCTTATTCAGCCCAGACTTCGAGCATTGGTGCTACTTCTTAATGTCCCATACAGATTAATGTACAGTAAGAATTATACTAGTGGCATTGTTTTTTAGCTGAGGAAGTTGGAGTATAAGTGAGTAGAGAGTAATATTGCAGAGAATGGAATACCTAGGAAAAGATTGCCCATCAGGCACAGTGTTAGAGACAGAGGTGATTAATAAATGTCTGGCCAATACATTAATTTAAAGCCTTCTTGAACATTAAAAAAAAAAAAAAAAACCTGTCAACTGGATTCGGAAGTAACAAATTTCTATAGCGGAAACAGATTCTTCTCCCACCATGAGCCTGGGATAATTTTACCAATACCCATTTTTGTCTTGCTGCATAATTCAGAAATCTGTTTGGCTGAGGCTGGAGTGCCTCAAGTTGTCTGAAAACTCTGCTGTCATAAAATCTTGTTGAGAGATGAAAGGAAACAAAGTTAGAATGAGCATTTATTAAAATGCCTGCTTTCAAGCTATCAACTGCACATCAGCCACGCAGGGGAAATAAACCACACTCAGTGAATCACTGCATATTAGAATGAGGGTGTTCATGTGGAAAGATTAAATATTTCCCCCCACTATACACTCCTTAGTCCTTGATTCAAACCTCACATTCATGCTCATTAGAACTAAGTGGATTAGCCAGCACTGCGGCTCAATAGGCTAATCCTCCACCTGCGGCGCTGGCACCCCGGGGTTCTAGTTCTGGTCGGGGCACCGGATTCTGTCCCAGTTGCCCCTCTTCCAGTCCAGCTCTCTGCTGTGGCCCAAGAAGGCAGTGGAGGATGGCCCAAGTCCTTGGGCCCTGCACCCCATGGGAGACCAGGATAAGTACCAGGCTCCTGGCTTCGGATCAGCGAGGTGCACTGGCCACAGCGTGCCAGCCGCAGCAGCCACTGAGGGGTAAACCAACGGAAAAGGGAAGACCTCTCTCTCTCACTGTCCACTCTGCCTGTAAAAAAAAAAAATTAAGTGGATTTATATTGATACTATTGACTATTTTCTTTTTTAAGAATTATTTATTTACTTATTTGAAAGGCAAAGTTACAGAGAGAGAATGGGAGAGACAGAGAAAGATCTTTTATCTGCTGGTTAACTCCCTAAATGGTTGCAATGGCCAGAGCTAGACCGATCTGAAGCCTGGAACCAGGAGCTTCTTCCGGGTCTTCCACATGGGTACAGGAGCCCAAGTACTTGGACCATCTTCTGCTGCTTTCCCAGGCACAATAGTAGGAAGCTGGTTTGGAAGTGGAGCAGCCGGGACACGAACTGATGACCATATGGGATGCCAGCAGTGTAGGCAGCAGCTTTACCTACTATGCACAGTGCCAGCCCCAGCCATTTTCTTTTTAACCTAATAAAAATCTTTACAACTAAAAGTGATAGTAATGCCTCAGTAAAAGTATTATCCCCTGTAAAAAGCCTTCTTCTTTAATTACCATCTCTGATGGGCTCTAAAAGGCTTAAAAATAAATCTCTTTTGCGTTTTTCATGGATAAGTTAGTCCAAATTTTTCTTGCTTGTTTTTTAAATATATCATTTTTTAAGATTTTTTTTATTTATTTGACAGGTAGAGTCATAGACAGTGAAAGAGAGAGACAGAGAGAAAGGTCTTCCTTCTGTTGGTTTACTCCCCAAATGGCCTCAACAGCCAGAGCTGTGCTGATCTGAAGCCAAGATCCAGGTGCCCCTTCCTGATCTCCCATGTGGATGCAGGGGCCCAAGCACTTGGGCCATCCTCCACTGCCTTCCCGGGCCACAGCAGAGAGATGGACTGGAAGAGGAGCAGTCAGAACTAGAACCAGCGCCCATATGGGATGCCAGCACCACAGGCAGAGGATTAACCCACTGCACCACGGCACCAGCCCGTAAATATATCATTTAATCCCACTCATATGTGGTGTCTAAAAAGGGGGGAGGGTGTCTCATAGAAGTTAAAAGTATAATGATGGTTGCCAGAGCCTGGAAAGGGAAGAGGGGAAAGAGGGATGGGGAAAGGTTGATTTACAGATACAAAGTTGCAGTTACATAGGAGTAGGAATGACTATAATGTTAATGTGTTGTACACATTAAATTGATGTATATTCACAAAAAAGCAAGAAGGTAAGATTTTTATTGTTTTCACACTAAAAGCTTTTGGCTATTTACACTGATTGGGTGTTACACAATGCATACAGGTATTGAAATACCACACGGTACCACATAAATATGTATAGTTGTTAAACATGGGAGCAGGCATTTGGCACAGCAGTTAGGTAGCCACATGTGATGCCTGTATCCCATATCACAATCCACGGTTCGAGCTCCAGCTTCTCTGCCCTTGAATCCAGTTTCCTGGTGATGTGCACCCTGGGAGGCAGCAGGGGATGGCTCAAGTATTGAATTCCTACCATGCACATGGGAGAATCAGATTGAGCTCCTGGATCCTGGTCCAACCCTGCCTGTAGTTGGCATTTGTGGAATAAACCAATGGGTGGAAGATATATCTTTAGCTCTCTCTCTCTCTCTTTTTTTTTTTTTTTTTTTTTTTTTTGACAGGCAGAGTGGACAGTGAGAGAGAGAGACAGAGAGAAAGGTCTTCCTTTTGCCGTTGGTTCACTCTCCAATGGCCGCCGCTGCAGCCGGCGCACCGCGCTGATCCTGGCAGGAGCCAGGAGCCAGGTGCTTTTCCTGGTCTCCCATGGGGTGCAGGGCCCAAGCACCTGGGCCATCCTCCACTGCACTCCCTGGCCATAGCAGAGAGCTGGCCTGGAAGAGGGGCAACCGGGACAGAATCCGGCGCCCCAACCGGGACTAGAACCCGGTGTGCCGGCGCCGCAAGGTGGAGGATTAGCCTATTGAGCCACGGCGCCGGCTCTCTCTCTCTTTTTCTCTCTCTCTTTCCCTCCCTCCCTCCCTCTGTCTTTCTGCCTTTCAAATTATAAATGAAAAATGAAATTTAAAAAGTACAGCATTTGATAATCAGAGATAAATAATAGAGATTAAAATGAAAATACACATGCAATATTCTTCTAAATCAATCATTGTTTTCAATAGTTTGCATTCATATATGTACATTATTCACCAAAACATGTAAATGTGATGTAAAACTGCTTCAAAATATAAGACTTCTGTCCACTTCTTTCCCCAGATACTTCTTTTCCCCAATTGTTTTTTCGAGAAACAGCTAGCACTACAAGTTTTCTATGTGTGGATATAAAAATTAAATAATAATAGTAATGTCCACCATGTGTTGAGCTCTTTCTTCACTGGGTCACCCTCACAGCAATCATCTAACCACTACTAGTCTCCTTGTTTTACAGGAAGAAGAACTGTGTCATGTCGATGTTTAAAAAAAAATTTAGGAATCACATTTTGGAGATGGAAGAATTTTGGTTGAAATAAAGACCACTGCTCAGGTTTGTGCAGGTTGCATGCTATTAGGTACCATACTAAAGAGAAGAGTTAGAAAGATTCTAGCTGACCTAGGTTAGTAGATACTAGAATAACAGATGAGACAGAACATAGCAATGATGTGTTGTTTAAAGGTCTTTAGGAATGTTTTAGAGATTTATTTATTTATTTTGAAAGAATTACAGAGAGGGAGAGACAGAGTCAGAAAGTGTGTGTGGTGTGTGGAGAGAGAAAGAGAGAGAGAGAAAGAGAGACATATCTGCCATTTACTGGTTCACTCCCCAAATGGCCATAATAGACAGAGCTGGTCAGGCCAAAGGCAGGAGCCAGGAAATTCTTCTAGGTCTCCATGTGGATACAGGGGCCCAAGTACTTGGGCCATCTTCCACTGCTTTCCCAAGTGCCTTAACAGATCAGAAGTGGGGCAGCCAGGACTCAAATTGCTGCGCATATGAGATATTGGCATTGCATGTGGTGGCTTAAGCCCCTACACCACAACACTAGCACCAGTTTTTAGGAATTTAAGAATATTTATTTATTTAGCAGTATATTGAATTATCAGTTGTGATCCAGGCACTGGAAACACTGTTGTCATCCTCATAGAACTCAGCTAATAAGGGGTGCAGACAAGTGGAAAGTAATGGAAGTTCTGTGCAGTATGTAGAACTGGGATGGTGCCATAACAAAACTCTAAAGTATGTGACATTGATGCCAGGACCATGTGGCAAACGGGAAGGAAGCAATACCATGATGGGCTTTTGATTTGAGTAAAGATATTTCCAAGACACAAACTGAGTGTCACTGGTTTATACTGTCTTTATATGATAAGGTACTTCAAGAAAGAGATGGACATAGAAAATAACTGTAAAATATGCAAGTAGAATTTAAGGAAGTAAAGAAGGACTAAAATTTGCCAGCCTGGAATAAACTATCTTTTATTTCCAAAACTAAAGATTCTCAAGTTAAGAGATTAACTATCTATATCAGGTTCTCAAGAGCAAGTCAGAACAGGGTCCCCTCCTTTGCCCAGTTAAAGGCTGTCTTGACTGGGGCCCTTGCAGTAGGGTTGCTAAACCCAATCCTTCAAAACAAGCAAGCATTGGACACGCTAAATGCTGCCCAACGGGGCATCTGTTTTGTGCTTTAAAATTGTTTGTTTCTTGGGGGGTGGGGCGTCAATCAAACTTTCCAGAGAGGCACAAAACCATGTTAACAGTTTCTTGCATAAGGTCAGACAACTCCAGGACCAAGCTGACAAAGGCTCGAATTTTTGGCCTAATTTACATTCATGGATATCCTGGCTGTTGCTCCTCAGTGTACCTATAACCTCCATCCACTTGCTGCTTCTCTTTGGACCATGTATCTTTAATGCTCTTGTCCATTTTGTCTCTAACAGAGTATACGCCATCCAGCTCCAGGTGGTCATGAGACAGGGCTTCCAGTCTATCCCTTAAGACGATATGACCAATCCATGTTTCCCCAGAAGATTTCTGTGTTATGGAACAAGGAAGCAAGCCTTGAAAGCAAACCAGCATTTACATATCAAAAATCCTGCCATTGTTCAGTAACCTGGTTGGGTGGGTCCCAGCCCTCTCCCTCTAGGAGCAGCTTAGGGGAATCTCATCGGCTCTTCACCAAGGGGACTATTTTGAAGTTCTGGGAGGTACTCCATGCCCAGAAAACCCTCCACCCAGCAATATTCCAAAAAGGATGTAGGGGGAGGAGAAAGAGGGCCCACACCCAACATGCAACTGAATGCAGATTGGGCTCTCAATTCTGAGATACCCAGCTGATCCACCAGATGTACTCTCCACATTCTTTCTCTTCATTTAAATTTACTAGCATGCTTACCACTAGAAAGAAAGAAAAACAGAAATAAAGGAAGGAAGGAAGAGAGAGAGAGAGAGAGAGAGAAGGAAGGAAAGGAAGGAGGGAGGGAAGGAGGGAGGGAGGGAGGAAGGAAGGGAAATGGCCCAAGTCGGGCAGATGTTGTGGCTCAGTGGGTACAGCTGCCACTTGAGACAGCTGCATCCCATTTTGGAGAGGTTCAGATAGCGTCCTGTCTCTGCATCTAATCCACCTTCCTGAGAATATGTGCTGGGAGGCAGCAATGCATGGCCCAAGTACTTGGGTCCCTCCCACCCATGTGAAAGATCTAGATGGAGTTCCTGCCTGCTGGATTTGATCTGGCCCAGCCTGGGCTGTTGCAGGCATTTGAGGAGTGACTAACAAAAGGAAGATTCTCTCTCTCTCTCTGTCTCTCTCTCGCTCTCGCTCTCGCTCTCTCTTGTATACACACACACACACACACACACACACACAAACACACTATGCCTTTCAAATAAATAAATAAAATTTAACAACAACAAAAAATACTTGACTTCAGGAATGTGTATCTACAAGACTCTTCTTCATGGTTCCTAGGAATTTAAGTTGGTACTTCCTCTACTCAACTAAAAGGTTTCCTAGAAGTTTAAAGATGCACCCAATGGAAACCTAAACCCAAAGTAGCAGTACGTCTATACTGGGGAGCAAGGGAGAAGGGGAGAAACATCCTGACCTGTTATCTTATTTTCCATCTGATTTTGGTGTGCTTCCAAACAGAAACAAATGAAAGTACAAGTGATACAATTCTCAGAAGACAAAGTCCCTGGTTGTTGGGAAACAAAAGGCAGAGAGTGCATCTGGTTGAGCAAATGGAGAAGAACTAGCACAGGTTTTAAGGTAAAGGAAAGGGTTCAACAACATTTGTAAATCACATGCCATAAATGCACAAAGAATATTTATCAGCAGCCAGGAGGGGCGAGGATATATTCAATCTTTATATACTGGATCTGAATATAATTTTTTTCCTTCCTGGGAAGGAAAAAACCTGTCTTTTAACTGAAAAAGGAATACCATCATCATCACAAACATCATCTCCTTTGGAATGTCCCCTAAAGGCAGTTGATATTGTAAAATTCCATTTTCATGTTTTTATGATGATATATTTATGTACTACATCAAAGCTGTAGGAAATGTAAGCTTTTTTCCATTACAATCTTTATGGTAAGAATCAACTATACAAATTGAAATTGTAATACGTATTTATGATTGTGGTGACTGAGACACTGGCTGTAAACTTAGTAACTTTGTTCTGTCACTCCACCAATATTTAATTGGTAAGCAGTGAGTTGCTGATCAGCATTAATCAACATATTTTGGTTTTTTGGCTTTTTCTCTGTAGATGAGATGCTGTTTGTGATTCCAACAACTTCGTTTCTCAACACAATGCCAAGCATATTTCTGCCAAGCATATGGTATGGATAATAATTACTATTTTAGGAGCTAGTGACATCAACCATGGAGAATGCTAACAATGAGAAAGAAAGACTGCCTGGGAAATCCCCAAGGGACATTAACACTTAAGAAAAAGACAGACACAAACCTAGCATTAGAAGGATGAACCAGAGACATAGGAGTAATGTGAAAACCAAGCCAAAAGAAAAAAGAAAAGTGGACTAGATTCCTACATGTTGCATTGCACATCAAATGAGGTAGTGACTGAAACGTTTCCATGCAGGAAAACTATGGGCAGGTTGTTGGTGACCACAGTGAAAGTGCATTTAGTGGGCGCCAGAGAAGCAAAAGTCCCAATTCTATGGACTGTAGTTTGAATGCAAGATGAAGACATGGGAATGCTGAATACAGGCACAATGTCTGTAGTGCCTGACTTTGAAGAGAAAAACAATCACAGGATACTACCTGAAGAAGGGACTATAGTTTAAGTACTGTTTGTTTCTGTTTGTGTTTTCAGTTTGGCTTGATTAAATTGGTTTCTGTTTGGGAGAAAACATTGAGCCTGGTTAAATGTTAATAAAAAGCAACTAGCAGAGGAAAAGAACATGCATCTACAAAACAGAAAGCTGTCCATCACTCCGTGGAGCATGGTGCCTGTTAGAAGGTAGATGCTCACTGAGTATTATTAAATACAGGAATGCATTCCTTGAGAAGGCACGAAGGCATTTAATCCAGAAACAGTGAAAAAATTATCAGTAGACAAGATACAAGATACTTGTTCCATTAAAAAGGCAAAAAGAAAATAAGTGTGGATGCAGGTAATTTGATAGGTAAGCTGTCAAAAACTTAAGAAAATCCCATCTGATGACTTCTCATTTTTTTAACGTTTACTTACTCATTTTTATTTATTTAAAAGACAGAGACTGAAAGAGAGAGAGAGATGAATAAATATTCCATTTGCTGGTCTACTCTGCAAATGCCCACAACAGCCAGGGCTGTGCCAGGACGAAGCCAGGAGCCGAGAACTCCACCTGGGTCTCCCAAATGAATGGCAGGGACTCAAGCGTTTGAGTCATCATCCGCTGCTTTCCCAGGTGCAGTATCAGGAAGCTGGATTGGAAGCAGAGGTGGGACCGGGTCCCGGGCACTCTGATATGGGATGCAAGCATCCAAGTGGCAGCTCTATTGGCTGTGCCATAATGCCTACTTCTCCATCTGCTGACTTCCGTTTTCTCTGTGCAATGAAAGATGAGGTCCTCTGAGGCAAATAAAGAGGAGGATAAACTGGGAGGACTGAGAAGAATGACAAAGATTGATGAAATAATCTCCAAAAGGATGCTTTGGATAAACGTCCCTCAAACAGCTGCCAAACCCTGCAGTGTGTACAGTGGCAAGCAACAGGGGTCACCCAGGGGATACTACCCAAACAGGGCTTCAGGGCTGAGTCAGAAGGCTGCATCATCAGCTGGCACTTGTTCCTGTTCCTTTAGGCCAGAACTCAGTACTTGTCCTCTCCTTTGCTTTGTGGCACCAGATTGAATGCACACTGATCGCTCCATGGGATGAAACAACCTTGGAAAATCTTGCTTCCCTTGTCATTCCACCTCAAGGAGATTTCTTAGAGCTCAGTTCTGAGACTTGCCTGCCCAGACACTGGGCACCAAACTTCAAAGCAACAAACTAGAAAATAAAGGGCAAGAAGTGGGGTGCAGAAGACTGAATGCGTGTGCCCTGCCTCCCCACCAAATTCATTCGTTGATGTCCTAATCCACAGTGTGATGATATTTGGAGGAGGAGCCTTCTGGGAAGTAAGATCATCAAGGCTGTGCCCTTGGATGAAACACGAAGAATCTGCTTCCTCTCTCAGCCATGTGAGTATCCCGGAAGTAGACTTGTGTCTACAAGCAAGGAAGCAGACCCTCACCAGACGTGGGGTCTACTAGCACTTTGATCTTGAACTTCCCAAGCTCCAGAATAACAAGAAACAAATGTCTATTCTTTAAGTCACCCAACCTATGGCATTTTTGTTACAGTGTTGTGAACCAAGAGACAGTAGGCCTGCTTCATGGATTATTCAAACTTCCCCCAGAGTCTGTGTCACCTTTATGGAGAGATGAAAGGGCAGTGAAAACCTGCCCTTGACCTCTGCTCTAGTCTCACACGTGGCGGACACTGGAAAGGACATCTCCCCTAAGAGATTTTTCTACCAGTCCAGAGAAATGTGATCTTCGCCTATGGCCCCGATAAGAAATCTCTGTCAGGATATAATGCAGAAAATCTACCACCTCTTTGAGGGAGAAAATAGTTGTATAACAGGTGGGTTTTTTTTTTTAACAGACAAATTCCCAAATATGTGTAAGGATAAGTATTACAACCCTATGTGAAAATCAAACACAGGAATGAAGAAAATAACTGTATGTTGGTTTTATTTTTTTTAATGATTGACTTATTTATTTGAAGGCAGAGTTACAGAGGAAAAGGCAGACACACACACACACACAGAGAGAGAGAGAGAGAGAGAGAGATCTTCATCCACTATTTCACTACCCAGATGGCTTTAATGGCTGGAGCTGTGCCGATCCGGAGCCAGGAGCCAGGAGCTTCCTCTGGGTCTCCCATGTTGGTGTAGGGGCCCAAAGACCTGGGCCATCTTCCACTGCTTTCCCAGGCCATAGCAGAGAGCTGGATTGGAACTGGAGCAGCCGGCACTCAAACCGGCACCCATATGGAATGCCGGCACTGCAGGCAGCGACTTTACCCGCTATGTCACAGCTCCAGCCCCCATAGGTTGTTTTAATCACATAAAATTATACATGTAAAGTATTTTTTAAGCAATTCTAGGAAATTTTAATTCAATTCTCATCAAAATTGCACAGGATGCTAAACAAACCCTTGAATAACGTAGTTTCATGGAGAATTTTGCTGAAGTAATTATCTAGTAATGAGATTGCTTAAGAGAAAGCACTAAAAACACTGGACAGATTTTCTTTGGGCAAAAGTGTGGGAAGAAATGGAAGAAATACAAAATTATGTCTGAGGAGTTAAAACACTCCACGACACAGTAGAACAGCCTCTATGGATGCTAAATTTTCTCGTCATTTCGCTATAATGTGTATTAGAAAACTTATTTAGACCAGACAATGTATTTTATGATTATGGCCTATAACTCTAAAGAATCGCTAATCTCTGTTTTGGATCATTAAGCTCCATATATAACTTTGATTGAAATTCCACTTGTCTCCAAGCTACCCATGATAATATTCCATAATTTAAAGTAATTCTGCCTTGCTAAGTGATCAATTGCTTTCTTTACATTAAAGATAGTGAGAAGAGGATCTCTAAAAGAGGCTATTTTTTAAAATTGTTACTTGCAAAAGTAACAGAAGAAGAGGGAGTGAAGGAAGCTAGAAAATCTACTTTCTTGGGTCCTCTTGCCTATTTTACTGCATTTTAAAGTAAGAAAAAGGAAAAAGGGCCGGCACTGTGGCACAGTGGGTTAATGCCCTGGCCTGCAGTGCCAGAATCCCACATGGGCTCCGGTTCGAGCTCCAGCTGCTCCAGTTCTGATCCAGCTCTCTGCTATGGCCTGGGGAAGCATAGAAGACGGCCCAGGTCCTTGGGCCCCTACACCTATGTGGGAGACCCAGAAGAAGCTCCTGGTTCCTGGCTTTGGATCGGCACAGTTCCAGCCGTTGTGGCCAATTGGGGAGTGAACCAGCAGATGGAAGACCTCTCTCTCTTTCTCTTTCTCTTTCTCTCTCTCTCCCTTTCCTCTCTATCTGTAACTCTGACTTGCAAATAAATAAATAAATCTAAAAAAATGAAAAAATACTTTAAAAAAAGAAAAGAAAAAAATGTAATTACATCCCTGAAAATTATAAGAAAAAGAAAAATAAGAGGCAGAATAGCATCCCCATAAACACTGAGGGAAACACTTCAAAAAGACATGCCACAAAATGTGAAATCATAAAATACAACATTGAAAAATAAACTAAGATAAAATTAGGAAAAATACACATGCTATGAAAGAATAACAGACCCACATTAGAGAAATTTGAATTATATTGGAACAGAATATGGGGTCATAAAGTAAGCATGCTGAGACGTCTCCTGAACTTCTGTCATCCCTTTTTAATCTAGAACTTCGAGCTTGGACCTGAGCCCATTATTCTCTAGAACAATTTCACTTTCGCCTCAGCCCTCTACAGTATTAACAAGTAATGGCAGATAAAGCACATGAAACTTTCATTGAACAAGAGTCCAGTGAAAAAGCAAAAGAAACAGAGACAACAGAAAGGTAAAATATCGAGATAGGCTATCTTGTGTTAACAAAAGGACTGAGGATTATAAAATACAATGAAAAGAAAGAGATGGAGAGTTATAGTGGAAAGAAATGCAGATATTCGACCTGATGGATCAGGTGAGGTCAAAAGTCTTCCAGCTATCAGAGACCTAAGTGAAGCCAATAGAGAGCAGGGTGGTAAAAAACCTCCACTGGATGCCCGGTGTTGTGGAAACACTTGTCTTCTGGGATATGAATCAGCTCCCAGTAAGTGTTCCTTGCAGGAACGAATTCCTCCTTATGGCAAAAACTGAAGTGCAAAAGTGATTCCTACATGCAGAATGGCCAGTTAGATAGTTGATGTCTAAAACGATCCGGAGACACCCCCCTGTGTGAGTAAATAGCTGACAGTGCTGAAACCAATGGTGAAAATCACAAAATAAAAATGTCCATTGCCATGAAGAACTAGATGGGTTTAATAGCTCAGGAATGATGTCAGAAGTGTGGTGAGCCTTATTTTATGTGAGTGCCAAAAGAAAGCCATTTTCGGATAAAGCCATTGGGAGGTGGAGTTTATTTTACTGCTGTACTACCATAATGCGAAAGTATCTAATATTTTAAGAAAATTTTATTTCCAAATCATTATCTTTTTGACATTCTGATCTAGTTCTGTATTTATCAATGAAATATCTATTCCTTAGCTATTGTTTCTGTTCTAAGCACTAACATTTGAAGAAACATTCATTAAGGGATCAGTAACATGCCCTTAATTCTAAAAGTAAGTTTCTATTGATTTTCAGCATTAAGTTAAGAGGATCAGAAAGAAAGAAAGAAAGAGAAAGAAAGAAAGAGAGAGAAAGAAAGAGAGAGAGAAAGAGAGGGTCGAGGCCGGCACTGTGGAGTAGCGGGTAAAGCCACCACCTTCGGTGCCAGCATCCCATATGGGTGCTGGTTCTTATCCAGCTCTCTGCTATGGCCTGGGAAAGCAGTAGAAGATGGCCCAAGTCCTTGGGCCTCTGCACCCACATGGGAGACCCAGAAGATGCTCCGGGATCCTGGCTTCGGATAGGTGCAGCTCTGGCCATTGTGGCCAATTATGGAGTGAACCACTGGATGGAAGACCTCTCTCTTTCTCTCTCTCTCTCTAACTCTGACTTTCAAATAAAATAAACAGATCTAAAGGAAGGAAGGAAGGAAGGAAGGAAGGAAGGAAGGAAGGAAGGAAGAAATAGAGGGACTCCTCCCAAATTCTTTCAATGAGGCCAGCATCACCTTAATTCCAAAACCAGAAAAAGATACAACAAAGAAGACTGTAGACCAATACCTCTGATGAACATAGGTGGAAAAATCCTCAAAAAATACTAACTAATCAAAACTAACGACACATCAGAAAGATTATTCACTCAGACCAAGTGGGATCTATCTCTGGTATGAAGGGATGGTTCAACATAGGCAAATCAATAAATGTGATATGTTGCATTAACAAGTTGAAGAATAAAAACTAAACAATTATTTCAATAGATACAGAAAAAGCATTTGATAAAATACAACATCCTTTCATGAAAAAAAAAAAAAAAACTTAAGCAAATTGGGTATAAAAGGAACAGACCTCAACACAATCATGGTAGTATATGTCAAACCCACAACCAGCATCATATTGAATGGGGAAAAGCTGGAAGCATTCCCACTAGGATCTGGAACCAGACAAGGAAACCCACTCTCACCATTACCCTTTCATATAGTTTTAGAAGTCCTAGCCAGAGCTATTGGACAAGAAAAAGAAAAAGAAAAATGTTAAAAGAAGAAATCAGATTGTCCTATTTGTAGATGATAAGATCCTGTACATAGGGGAACCAAAAGACTGCACTAAGAGATTACTGAACTCATAAGAGACTTTGGCAAAGTTGCAGGATATAAAATCAACAGACAAAAATCAATAGCCTTTACATACAGAAACAATTCCACGCCTGAGAAAGAACTTGTAAGATCAGTCCCATTCACAATAGCTACAAAAAACATTTAGGGGCCGGCGCCGTGGCTCACTAGGTTAATCCTCCGCCTGCAGCACCAGCATCTCATATGGGCACCAGGTTCTAGTCCCGGTTGCTCCTCTTCCAGTCCAGCTCTCTGCTGTGGCCAGGGAGTGCAGTGGAGGATGGCCCAGGTGCTTGGGCCCTGCACCCCATGGGAGACCAGGAGAAGCACCTGGCTCCTGGCTTCGGATCAGCGCAACACCAGCCACAGCAGCCATCTGGGGGGTGAACCAACGGAAGGAAGACCTTTCTCTCTGTCTCTCTCTCTCTCACTGTCTATAACTCTACTTGTCAAATAAAAAAAATTTTAAAATATTTAAATACCTTGGGATAAATTTAATCAAGGAGCAAAAGGTCTCTACAATAAAAAATTAAAAAAAAAATAAGGAAAGAAATAGAAGACACAAAAAATGGGAAATATCTCTTGTTCATGGATTGGAAGAATTAATTTTTTCAAAATGTCCATGGTGCCCAAAGCAATTTACAGATTCAATGTGATCCCAACCCTAAAGACATTCTTCTCAAATCTGGAAAAATGGACTCACAAGAGACCTTAAATAGTTAAAGTGATCCCACACTAAAAATAAAGCTAGAGGCATCACACTACCTTAGTTCAATATATATTACAGGGCAGTTATGATCAAAACAGATTGGTACTGGCATAAAAGACATGTCAGCTCATGGAACAGACTAGAGACCCTAGAAATTATTCCATTCATCTACAACAACTAATTGAGCTAAAATAACTACCTGAAGAAAAGGTTGTATCTTCAACAAATGATTTTGGGAAAATTGCATGTCTGCATTCAGAAGTATAAAACAAGACGCCTACCTTGGGGCCAGCGCTGTGGTGCAGTAGGTTGACCTGCAGCGCCGTCGTCCCATAGGGGCACAGGTTCTAGTCTAGGTTGCTCCTCTTCCGATCTAGCTCTCTGCTGTGGTCTTGGACAGCAGTAGAGGATGGCCCAAGTCCTTGGGCCCCTGCATCCATGTGGGAGACCCAGAAGAAGCTCCTAACTCCCGACTTTGGATCGGCACAGCTCTGGCCGTTGCAGTCAACTGGGGAGTGAACCAATGGAAGGAAGACCTCTCTCTCTCTCTCTCTCTCTCATTATCTGTAACTCTATCTCTTAAATAAATAAATAAAATCTTTTTTAAAAAGAAGACTCCTACCTTACAAAAATCAACTCACAATGGATCACGGATTTAAATCTAAGACCTGGAACCATCAAGTTACTAGAGTAAAACAAAGGAGAAACACTGCATGATACTGGCATAGGCAAAAACTTCTTGGATAAGACCCCAGCAGTACAGACAATAAAGGCAAAATAGATGAATGGGATTACATCAGGGTGAGAAACTTTTGCACAGCAAAGGAAACAGCAAATTAAAAAGGCAACTGACAGATTTAAAGAGCTCAAGAAATTCAACAACAAAACAAATAATCCAATTAGGAAATGGGTTAAGGATATGAGCAGTCATTTTTTAAAGGAGGAAATACAAATGGCCAACAGGCACATGAGAAGATACTCATGATAGCTATCATGGAAATGCAAATAAGAACCACAGTGAAGTTTTACCTCACCCCAGTTAGAATGGTTATCATCCAAAAATCAAAAAAATAACAAGTGCTGGCAAGGATGTTGGGAAAAGGGTACCCTAATACCCTGTTGATGGGAATATAAACTAGTATAAGCATTAAGAGAGAAAGTATGAAGATTCCTCAGAAGTCTAAAAATAGATCTACCACATGACCCAGCCATTCCACTCCTGGGAATTTACCCAAAGGAAATAAATTCAGCAAATGAAAGAGTTATCTGTATCCTCATGTTTATAGCAGCTCAACTCACAATAGCTAAGATATGGAATTAACCCATATGTCCATCAACTGATGGTGAAATAAAGAAAGTGGTGTGTGTGTGTGTGTGTGTGTGTATAATGGAATACTACTCAGCCATTAAAAAAGAATGAAATCCTGTCTTTAGCAACAAAATGGATGCAATTGAAGTGAAGTAAACCAGTCCCAAAAAGGCAATATCATATATTTTCCCTGACTTGTGGTAACTAATATACAGAGAACAAAAAAGTATATGAACAAAATTGACATTCTGAGAATTGATTATTGTTTATACCCTTTGTCTGTACTCTTGGGGAACAGTGGGCTTTTCTGTTTACTACTTGTTGGAATTATTTCTTAAGTGAAGACTTAAGCTTGGATTATAAATTGAAAGTTTATCATTGTAAATATTAAGAGAAAAATAAGAAAAGAAGGAGGGAAGGTGGGAGGTGAGTATGGGAAGTACCATATGCTCTAAAACTGTATATATGAAATATATGAACTGTGTTCCCTTTATATAAATAAAAAGTAAAAAATTAAGAAAATCGATGTCAATAACCTTGACAACAATCCAAATAAACATGAAATAATTAAAGAACTAGGGCAATTGTTTAATGACTTGGGTTCCTTTACTGGAGTGGAATTATGAAAACTAATTTTTAATTTGATTGCCCAAAACTTAACCTTTTATGTATGAAAAGTATATTAATGCCACAGCATTTTCAAGGTACCATCTTACATTGAAACAACCATGTTTCAGAGCTAATTTTCTGGTATTATGCTATTAGGGGAAAATTTATAGATTAGGTGAAATTCCGTATTTGGTGGTAATGAAAACATTGACTCATTACTATAAGTTACTTTAACATTTGCTTCAATAAATCTCAGTTTATTCACCCTGGTTTTGGACAAATAGCCAAAAACCAGTGGATAGTCTTCAGATTTTATGTTGATGAGAGGTGGCATTTATATCTACTTGAATCTGAGTTATAACATCAATTACTTTCTATAGATGCAGATATCTGAGATAGATCAGAACTAAAATCTCTTCTGAAATTCCTAATTTGTCTCTGTGGATGGGAAAGGGCTCCAACAGGTCTGCACAGATTTATTGGGATATTATACATTTGCATTCTATTTGGATTCATCCCCTGGGTTTGAATATGCCATAAATAAAATGTCTCATATAATTCCATATGTTAAAATCCTGTTGTAATTTCTTGAGAGAAATGGTTGATTCTAAGGCCAGGGAAGGCAAAGTACAAAATGAGCCCAGATCATCTCATAATTCCTAATAGGAATTGAAATCAGCATATCAGAGAGATACTGTATGTCCTTGTCTTTTGCAACATTATTCACAATAACCAAGATATAAATCAATCACGATATTAATCAATAGATTAATGGATAAGGAAAAAAGTACACAATGGAATATTATTCGGCTATAAAAAAGAATAAAATTCTGTCATTTCCAGCAAAATGGATAGAACTGGAGAACATTAAGTGAAACAGTCCAGACGCAGAAAATAAATACCACATGTTCTCATATGTGAAACCTTAAAAAAAAAAAGTCAATCTGAGTGTAGAAAAGAAAAGTGATCATTAGAGGTGAAGAGTGTGGAGAAGGAGAATGGTGGGAGATTATACGAGTGCCAAAACACACTTAGACTGAAGAAACAAGTTCTAGTGATCCGTAGCATAGTGTGCGACTGTAGTTTATAATTGAATATTTTGTATTTTATGTCAATCTGAAGGCAAAAACCAGGAACTTCCTCCGGGTCTCCCACATAAGTGCAGGGGCCCAAGGACTCGAGCCATCCTCCACTGCTTTCCCAGGCCACAGCATAGAGCTGGACTGGAAGTGGAGCAGCTGGGACTCGATCCAACGCCCATACGGGATGCCGGAACTGCAGGCAGCAGTTTTACCTACTAAGCCACAGCACAGGCCCCCACCCCACCCCGCATTTTACATTTTTAGGTTGAACAAATTGTGACTTGTTTTGGAAATCTTCTAAACTACCAAAATATTCAAGAGGAGCAAGAAAGTGACAGTTGATAACATTTCTCTCACAAAAGCAGTTCTCATTCTAGTGCAGAGGTTTCCGGAGCAAACGGAGTTAACAGCCTGACAGTTCTAAAATGGCTCAAAGAAACTCTGTAGCCAAACATGCAGCTACACATGAAGAAGTACAGGAAGAACAAGAGGCACCACAAATCATCTCTTTAGACAAATACACAGATTTTGTAAGCAAGTAGCTCCTCATAGCAACGAAGATTTATGCTCCTGGCCCTCCCCCTCAAAAAAAAAAATATATATATATATAAGAAGGCATTTCCAAAAAACGTCTCTTTGTGAACTCTTCGGATACAGAATCCAAGACTTTCAACTCTGCAATATCCCTGCCAAATGTGTAAAACTGGATCTAACCATGAGGAAACAATCCAGCAAATTTACATTGAGAAACGTTCTACAAAATAACTGGCCTGCTCAGAATCAGCCCTTAAGGCATTCGTATCTGGCTAAAAAGCCCATGAGAGTTTCTCAGGCATGGAAAGCCAAGACACTGTGGCAAAAAAAAAAAAAAATGACCTAAATGAAGGATCTCTGTGAGTGAGATTCCAGTGGAAAGAAGGGGCCATCAGGCCGGCGCCGCAGCTCACTAGGCTAATCCTCTGCCTGCGGCACCAGCACCCCGGGTTCTAGTCCTGGTCGGGGCACTGGATTCTGTCCTGGTTGCCCCTCTTCCAGGCCAGCTCTCTGCTGTGGCCAGGGAGTGCAGTGGAGGATGGCCCAAGTCCTTGGGCCCTGCACCCGCATGGGAGACCAAGAGAAACACTTGGCTCCTGGCTTCGGATCAGTGCAATACGCCAGCCGCGGCGGCCATTGGAGGGTGAACCAACGACAAAGGAAGACCTTTCTCTCTCTCTCTCTCTCTCTCTCACTGTCCACTCTGCCTGTAAAAAAAAGGGGGGGGGGGCATCAAAGAAGGAGGTACCTTTCTCTGAACTTCCACTTCTATTATGGCCTTGGTTAAATAAGGTCAGAGTTTGTGAACTCAAGAGGCTTCCATAGCCTTGGAAGCTCATGACAAGAGCCTCAGGTGATTACTGACGTCATAAAGAAGAGTGTCACTTCTTAAATCAACAACAGGAGTCACTGTGCACTTGCTCCCCATGTAGGACCTCTATCCTTAATGTGTTGTACTATGAGAATCAACGGTAAAACTAGTCTTCAAACAGTACTTTACACTTTGTGTGTCTGTGTGGGAGCAAACTGTTGAAATCTTTACTTAGAATATACTAAATTGATCTTCTGTATATAAAGATAATTAAAAATGAATCTTAATGAAGAATGGAATGGGAGAGGGATAGGAGATGGGATGGTTTGTGGGTGAGAGGGTGGTTACAGGGGGAAAAACAGCTATAATCCAAAAGTTGTACTTTTATATTTATTAAATAAGAGTTTTCTAAAAAAAAGAAAAAAACAAAATAACTGGCCTGAAATTTTAAAAACGTCAGTAACATGAAAGACAAAGAGAGGTGGAGGAGCTGTTCCATATTAAACACATAAGGCACTGAACAGCATTTTGGGTTTTCTTCTGCAGTAAAGGTTATTATTGGGACCTAGGCAGCAAATGAGTGAGAACTGAAATGCGGATGCGCATAATCTATCAGCGTGAATTTTCTAATTTTGGTACTATCACTGTGGTTATGTAAAGACTTATTCTGTTTATAAAAGAAAACATTCACTGCAGTACTTAAGGGTGCTGAGGGAAGCAGTGAGGAGTGTAGGAGAATCCCTGTGACTTTCTATGACCTTCCTTGCACTTTCTATGAGTGTGAAAATATGTCCCCAAAAAACTGTTAAAATAATAGAACAGCTTGGAGACCTTTTGAGTTGTACTACGTCACCTCCTATCTGCCAGCTGCCTGCCCTTGGGGCAGCCCCTCTCCCAGTGCCAAGTACAAAAAGATCCTTAGCAGCATGGGCATCGAGGCATGCAAGCACAAGTTCGGCAAGGTCAGCAGTGAACTGAATGGAGAACACACTGAAGATGTTACTGCCCAGGGGACTGGCAAGCTTGCCAGCACCTGCTGCTAGGGCTGTGGCTGTCTTTACTGCCTGGGGCCTGTAGCTCCTGCCGCTCCACTGCAGCACAGGCCAAGAAAGACAAGAAAAACGAGTCCAGAGTCAGGTGATGACATGGGATTTGGCCTATTTATCAGATTCCTGTTCTCCTGCAAATAGAGCCTTTTACCTATAATATAACAAAATGAAAGGATTGGATTAGAAAGAAAAGAGCTTCTTAAAGACATTTGTCTGGAAGGTCAGGCATTTGACACATGCGCTTGTACTGCTGCTTGGGAGACCTGCATCCCACAGCAGAGCTGCTGCTTCAACAACGGGATACTTAGCTTCGGACTCAGCTCCCTGCTAATGCGCACCCTGCGAAGCAGCAGGTGATGGCTCAAGTACTTGAATCCCTGCCACCCACAGGGAGACCTCAGTGGAGTTTCTGGCTCCTGGCTTCAGCCTGGCCCAGTCCTGGCTGTTTGAGGGCATTTGCCGAACGAACCAGCAAATAGAAGATCTCTCTCTCTCTCTCTCTCTCTCTCTCTCTGTGTGTCTCTTTCTCTGCCTTTCAAATAAAATTTTAAAATATATGAATAAAAAGTTTAAAAAATATTGAAAAGATAAAATCATGTTAATGTG